GAAGGCTAAATTAAACAGTGTCAAGCCAAAAGAAAGGAACAAAGTGTCAAAGCTGCAGTTTCAGGAAACGGCACAACCCTCGTTTAGCTAAAGTTAAAAAAAAACTGCAATGAATAGAAGGCTCAGAAAAGAAAAGGAAGCAATGGAGCAAACATGGAAACAACTTGACGAACACAGTTTCCTCAGCTTCCGAAAAAAAAAAAAAGACTTCATATTCAAAGCCTTCAAGTCAAAGACAGAGCCTTACAACTATTGTGGGCCAACGAAGAGTCAGGCCTTTAATGCAGCGAGAAATATGTAAATTCAATTATAGTTCAGTAATGCTTTTCTAAATGTTTTTTGGTTGCTTTCTTCTTCGGCGTGTTTATGTATATACACTTATGTTTTTTTTTTGTCGTTGTTTTTGTTGTTTAAATAGAAAAAAGTGTTTTTTTTAAGCGAAAAAAAAAATCTATTTTTTTTTTTCTTCAACCAATAACTATGAATTCTGATAGATAAAATAAAAATAAACATAAAAAAAAGAAGAAGAAGAATTAACTAAGTGAAACTACTAAATAAATCTATTCGTACAGAAAACATTCACTAAAAGAAAAAAAAAACACGTCGGATTAGCTTTCTCAGTTTTCGCTTTTTTTTTTTTTTTAATTAACCCGCTCCTTGCCGAAAATATATTTGATATAACATAAAATCAGATGTCTTTTTTGATGACAAAATTTTGATGACAACAAAAAGAAGGGTAATTTTTTGTTTCCTTTTCTGATTTCAACAATCAGAAAAGAAGACAAAAAATTACCCTTCTTTTTGTTGTCATCAAAATTTTGCTTAATCACCATGCAAAATGACTGACGTCTGTTTACTGAATGTTCACTGATTCATTAGATCTTTTAGAAACAGAAAAAAAAAGTAGAAGAAGTTTTAAACAATCAGTTAACAAAACGATAACTTTTTTTTTTTTTTTTGATTATTTTCTTTCCCTTCTCCTTATTCATTTGATTCTAGAAGGCAGAAAAATTATTTTAAAAATTTATCGGTCTCCAGCTGCCCTTGGAAACCCTTTGTATTTTAGCAACAGCAGTCGATATTTGAAACAGATTGCACAAAAAAAGATTGCACAAAAAATTCTTTGGTCAGTTATAAAAAAAGAAAATATTACCAATATATCACCAATATCAGCATATATCACCAATATTAATAACAGCAGAATTAATCAAACTGATTAATATTATTGACTGCCACTGTCGATAGAATGAAGCAAAGTAACTGGAAACTAAACTGACTAAAATAAAAAACAGTTTCATTATGCTCGTTTTGTACATTATGTGTACCATGACAGAAGAAGAAACGATAAAAATTTAATTTTTTGAACAGTGGTTTAAGATAGTTTTAATATTATAAAAAATTTTGCGGAACAGAAGAAGAAGACCAGCACAGTTTAAAATTTTACAAACTCTGATTAGTCATACACATCGTTTGTTTTGTTTAAGGGTTTAAGGTAGCTGGAAAAAAATGAAAAAGTATTTGCTTTACTACTAACATTAATTTTCAACAATAAAAGAAAAAAAAAGAAGAAAGTAGAACACTTTACTACAGATAATCATCAATAATAGTTGTCGCCCACTTTTTTTTTGTTGATCGTCGAACATATTTTCAAGAGATTTGCTGTGCCATCAACAGCTGACTGGAACAGCTCAGTGTTGTACTGTTACACCATAATGGTGTCGTCGAACGGATTCAGTTTCACATCCTCTACTTTCAACAAAATCAGCAATCATTTATTTGGTTTTACTGTGTTCTGCTTGCACGTAAAAACGTGTGTTGAACATGAAGCGGCTCAAATGTCATAAAAACTGATAAATGATTGAAAAGTTAAAGAAAAGAGTTAGCAGTTGTATTTATAAGATCACAGGTAGTGCAGTCATTATAAAGTAGTAATCAAGAAGAAATAAATAATTAAAAGTGAGAAAAACGGCATAAATTGTGGTAATTAAGCTCAACGACTACCATTGTTCACCAATGGCTCTGTTGAGCATAGTAGATCCCACATTGTTCAGTGTTATTTGTTTAATAGTTCTTAAAATCTTATTAATACTTTTTTCTTTTTGATCTGAAATCAACAAATAAAATAGCAATAGTAAACCTGACAGCTGATCACTATCTGCACATAAGAGTAATAATTAAATTTTTAAATCAGTAGTAGCAGCGTTAACAACTTTGTAACCTCAATGAATAATTGTCACCGTTACCACCATCACCGCTACAAGTCATCAGTACTTCCTGCGACAACGACGACTGTATCGAAATCTAAGTTATTGAACTGAATTGTTGGTAATAACAGAAAAAAGAAGATAGCATTGTTCAAAAACTACCAATTACGCAAAATAGCTTACAGGTAGATGACATATGTATAATTGCACAAAACTGCTGCCGTTTCAGTATACCCCACTTTGAAGTATCCTGCCGTTTCAGTATACCCCATTTTAAAGTATCCTGCCGTTTAACCTTCCCGTTTACCTCCACAAAAAAAAAACTTTTGTAAAAGAGCAAAAATGAAGAAAGCAAAAAAAAAAAAAAAAATGGTAGTTAAAACTTTAAAATATGGTATCGTTTTACACACACACACAAAAAAAAGATTTCAAACTTTTTTTTTCGCTAACCATCATCGTCATCATCATCATCAATGTCAACTGCCTCATGTAATCGGCTAAACAATTAGTGAGAAAATTATATGTGTATAATAATTGTATTAAATAAAATTGCTATTATTGCTCTTTGATTTATTTATAATGATCACTAAAAGACGAAAAAAATAAAATAAAAGTTTTTTTTTTTTTTTTTTTTTTTTTTTTTTT